CCGCCATGGCGCCCCTTCGTTCCACCAGGCTGTCTTTGGCCGTAACGGCGACCTCGCACTTTCAATGCGTAGCCACAATTGGTTTCACACCGACGACGCTTGGTTTAAATCGGTCGGGTCGCTCGTCGGCAGGTGGCAGGTGGCAGAGCATGGGCGTTCAGAGCGATGTGCAAGTGCAGTTAGTCTCCCTGCTACAAACGTTCAACGGCGGGGCTGTGATGAAAGCGTTGCAGGCCGTGGAGGCCGCGGGCTCCTTGCCGTTATGGCATGGGCAGACTGGCCCTCAACGCGACGCAGCCCTGGGCTCGTTCGTCGCGGATATCCTGAAGTCCGGGCAGAACGTGTTCTCCATTCGTTTCAACCTCAGGGCCTACAATTCTTGCCTCGACAGCAGCCGCTCTATCTCCCCAGCTGGGATGACGCAGATCAAGCAAGGTTTGCGCAAAGTGCTGTACCAGGGAGAGGCTCGAGATTTGGGCGAGTATACGACATACACGACGAAGCTTGAGTTCCTGTCCAGGACGAAAAGGGTACTCGGACGACGCCGAACTGTCGTTCATGGGGAAGAATCTATTGAACGTTCTCGATGGGTTGGGCCGCGCCCATGTGCATCTACAGAACCACGTGTTGGAGTCGAAATCTGACCACCCGGATGGCCCGGGCGCGCTGGAGTACTACCGCCTTAGCGGTCGCGTCGAGAAGGCCGTCCGGGCGTGTAGGAAGGAGCTGATGTCGGATCTGAGATTCATGCGGCCGAAGGCGGTATGCGTGGACGGGAAGCCTGCAGAGGGGTGCCACCTTGGGATTTGCACTGATCAGGAAGTCACTGAAGAGACCGCGCAGTTCGCCAGCTGCGCGTTGACCCGGGCCCTGAACTACGTGCTCACTGGCGTGATCCCCGAGCATCTCCAGCGGGCCTCTGTGCTCGCCTCAAAAATGGTGGAGAAGTTGCGTCGCTTGCGCGCAGCTCGCAAGCGCCCGGCCGCCGCGAATCCGCGGAGGAAAAAATGAGCGGCAGGCAGCCGGGCAGCCGAGACATCCTCGGAATTTTGGGCTCGGAAATGCCATGACTTGAGGCGATCAGGCCCGTTTCGTCTTGAGACGTCTTCACGTCTTGACACGTCTTCCGACGAGCGGCAGCCACATCCCTGGTTGTGTGTAATGTTGCCGCTCGAGCGCCAGCCAAATCCCCGATTGGTGTATCGGTGCTCTCGGCCAGGCGCTGTGTTTTATTTCTGCGGATGCATGGCCTGTGCGGCCATGTGCGGACATGGCGTGGTCTTCCTGACATGCGACCCCGGGGGCGTGGACCATTGAGGCGTATGGCATGCGCGGGCATGTGCGGGCATGTGCGGGGAGGCGATGGCTTCAATGCCGCCTCGCGCAGGGGTGCACAGGTGGGTGCGCACGCACTGCGCGGCATGTGCGGCGCGAGGATCTAGAACAAGAAGAAATGAACCAACAAGAAATGAACCTCCAAGAAGCGAGCCCGGTGTAGGGCTTGCGAAATCTTCCACGGGCCCAAGTGGGCCCAGGATGCCCCAAGACAACTGTTCCTCCCTCTTCCTCCTCCGTTTTTGCTCCTCTTGTACGGGAACTGATAACCGAGGAGGAGGAAGGGGAGGAGGAGGAGGGCGAGAAGAGAGTAGAGGGGAGAGGAGCGATGAGGCGAGCATCTTCGCTTCTGTCGGGGATTATGCCATCTGCGATGATCCGTTCATTCGTGTTTTACTGCAGTCTTGCATGCCTACCGAATCTATGCGAAACGGCGCGAGCTTTGGGATCGCCGTTGATAGATTTAGCTTTCTTCAGTTGGGCGTGATTTGTTCATCACAACAGGAGTTCGCAAGTTTCGGATCTAGGATTGTTTCGGCATCGCTTGCGATTGGCTGTGTCTCGGACGGCCCGGGCTGGACACACACGCACACACGCACGCACACACACACACACTTCCTCACATGTGTCCTTCTCACCAAAGGCCTCAGCAGCGATTTTTTGCACGCGCCCCCCCGCCTATTTCGGCGCACCCTTCCCGAAGGTCGTGGCCCCATCGGGAGCTCCACCGAATGTCCCAGTGGCAGGGTCCGCATGCGTCCCCCCGCCAAGTTCGGGAGGCCCATCACGAGGATCGCGGCCTCACAAGGAGCTCCACGGGTCGTGGCCCCTGCGGGAACTCCACGGGAGCTACTACTATTACTACTACTACTACTACTGCTACTACTACTACTACTACTACTACTACTACTACTACTACTACTGCTACTACTACTACTACTACTACTACTACTACTACTACTACTACTACTACTACTACGACTACGACTACTACTACTACTACTACTACTACTGCTACTACTACTACTACTACTACTTCTTTTTCTTCTACTTCTACTTATTCTTCTACTTCTACTTATACTAATACGATTTTTATTACTACTACTACTACTTCTACTTCTACTTCTACTTTCATTTCTACTTCTACTATTACTACTACTGCTACTACTACTACTACTACGATTTCTACTTCTACTTCTTCTACTCCTACTAATTCTATTTCTACCGCGACTACTATCACTTCTTCTTCTACTTCTACTTCCACTTCTACTTCTAGTTATACTACTACTATTATTATTTCTACTACTACTATTACTTGTACGTCTACTTGTACTTTCACTTCTACTTCTACTGTTACTACTACTACCACTACTACTACTACTATTACTACTACTACTACTGCTACTACTACTACTACTACTACTGCTACTTCTTCTTCTTCTTCTACTACTACTAGTACTACTACTTACCACTACTACTACCACTACTACTACTACTACTACTACTACTACTTCTGTTTCTTCTACTTCTACTTATTCTTCTACTTCTACTTATACTAGTATTATTTTTATGTCTACTACTACTACTACTTCTACTTCTACTTCTACTTTCATTTCTACTTCTACTATTACTACTACTGCTACTACCACTACTACTACTATTATTACTACCACCACTACTACTACTACTACTACTACTACTACTACTACCACTACTACTACTACTACTGCTACTACTACTACTACTACTACTACTACAACTACTACTACTACTACTACTACTACTACTACTACTACTACTACTACTACTACTCCTGGGCCCCCGGGCGCGCCCTGGAATTTGTTTCTTTCCGGGCGGGCCCCCAGGGGTCTTACGTGGGAGTCGCCCGGGCGATGTTTCTGTACATGTTCCTGTACATGTGCTTCATGTGGTTCTCCTTACATTTCGGTGTTGCCCCAAATTGAATATGTTTCATTTTCGGGTGTGTTCGAAGACGGTGAGCCCGTCAGGGGCGATGGTGACGATGATGATGATGATGGTGATGATGATGGTGATGGCGGCCGTGGTGATGATAAGGACGATGTGGGGGGGCGGTGATGGGCATTCTGATGATGATGATGATGACGATTGTGATGATGATGGTGGTGGTGGTTATTTTTTGATGATGATGTTGCTGATGATGCTGATGCTGACGGTGGTGACGATGCTGATTATGATTATGATGATGATAGTGATGATGATTATGATGATGATGATGATGATGATGATGCTGACGACGACGACTGGGCTGGCTGCGCTGTAGGAAACGACGACGACTGGGCTGGGATGGGGTGATGATGATGATGCTGACGAGGACGACTGGGCTGGGATGATGATGATGCTGTTGACGACGACGACAACCCAAGGTAACGTACGGAAGCCCATGAACACCCAAACCAACGGAAACCCACGGAAATTTAAACACACGGAAACCCACGGAAACCCAACCCAAATCCAAACGCACGGAAACCGACGGAAAGCAACGGAAACCCAAACTCACGGAAGCCCACGGACACCCATGGAAGCACAGACCCACGGAAACCCGCGAAAATTCAACCCAAATCCAAACGCACGGAAACCGACGGAAACCAACGGAAACCCAACCCAAACTCAAACCCACGGACACCCACGGAAACACAAACCAACGGAAACCCATCCATCGGAAACCTATGGAAGCCCACACCCACGGAAACCAATCAGTTGCAACGTTTTTTTCTTTTTCTCCCTCGTCTTTTTTCCTCCTTCCTCCTCCTCCCACTTCCTCGCTCTTCTCCACCTCTTCCCCCCTTCCTCCTCTTCCTCCTCCTCCCTCCTTCCCTCCTCCCCCCGCTTCCCTCCGCCTCCTCCTCCTCGTTCGGGGGGGTCCCAGGGAAGGAAGAGGGGGCTCTCCCTGCGGCGCGCCGCGCCCAAAAGACTTGGATCGCGATCCAAGTCTTCCTGGGATCGTGATTTCAGTCGCTTCCCCTCCAGTCCCCAGGCGAGCCCCGAAGAGGCCCAAGGCTGGCCGAAGAGGGCCCCAAATGTTGAAACTCATTGAAAACCGTTGGCGAACTAGGTGTTTGGCCTTCTCGCCTTTTCGCTTACGACCAGCTCTTGAGACGTCGAGACAGCTCCAAGAGGGTTCCAAATGAGTCCCCAGACGAGCCCCGAAGAGGCCTAAGGTTGGCGCAACAGGGCCCAGAGAGTCGAAAATCAAGGACAACCCAATGAAAAATGATGTTTTCGACCTTCTCGCTCTTTCGCTTCTGGTTGGCTCGGGGGGCGCCAAGTTGACCCCAGGATGGCCGCAGTGAGGCGCAAGACTCGCCCGAGGATTCGAACATTATTTGTTTTGGGGGGGCGCGCGCGGGGGTGTGGGCTCCCCACCCTTGCTTCTCAATATATTAATATGAATATAAATAGTAATATAATCGTAGTCGTAATTTACAGACACATATATATATATATATATATATGTTTATATATATATATGTATATATATATATATATATATATATATATATATATATATATATATATATATGTGTATGTGTACACACAAACGCTCGCGCGCCCGAGCGATGGCAGGGTTCTGGGGGCGAACTCCAGGCCCGGGAGCCGCTTCCCTCGAGACCCGCGGTCTTCAGGGGCAAGGCGAAGGCGCGGACGAGGACGACGACGGCGAGGTCCCGTGCCCGCGGAGCGCGCCGTTTCCTTCTGAGGGAGGGCCTAGGAGTGCAAGCGTTCCGTCCCCTTAAGTCGGGCGTGCCCCTTTACAGGAGGAGTATGCAGAAATAGTGAGCAAATGCGGGGACGACTTTTTTTGACCATTTTTGATGTTATTTTTGAGCATTTTTGACAAGCGATTTTTCTACCAAAATCCGCCTGTAGGGCGACACGCCCGACCTCATCCCCCCCCCTCTCCAAAATAGGGGAACGAAAAATGGCACAACGATAAAAACTCGGAGGTCCGCGCGGATTTCTCGGATCCGCGCTGGACGTCCCCCCCTGGCGCGAGGGAGACGCGCCAGCGGCGGCGCCGGAGGCGCCGCCAGGGGGCTCCGGCGCCGATCCGAGACATCCGCGCGGGCCTCCGAGTTTTTTTTATGTTTTTGTCACCTGGCATCGCTTGGACGTGTGCATTTTTTCTTCGGCGAGAACCATCGAGGAGCATCCTTGATCATTTGGCGAAAAAACCACGCACGAAACTGAACAAAAAACACAGGGAATGGACGTCCGAGCGACGGCAAGGTCATGGTTTGTTCCCGAGTAAACGTCACAACGATACTCCCCCTTCCCCTGCCACCTTCTCTTGGGCATCGCACGGTGCGCGCTGCGGCGCGCGCTCGCCCGCAGCGGCAGACCTGCGGCCCTCCCCTTTCCTTTCCCTTCTCCCTTCGCCCCTCCCTTGGCATCGCTCGGACGTGTGCATTCTTCCTTCGGCGAGGACCATCGAGGAGCATCCTTGATGGTTTGGCGAGAAAACCACGCACGAAACCGAAAAAAACACAGGGAATGGACGTCCGAGCGATGCCCAGCTCTCCTTCCCCTCAGCCTTGCCTTCCCTTCCCCCTCCACAGCTGACCAATGTGAGCACTGCGCCTCCTCCTCCTCCTCCTCCTCCTCCTCCTCCTCTCACCCGCCACCTCCTCCACCTCCTCCTCCTGTGGACGCAGCTCCCCTGTGCCCGTTTGCGCACAACACGATATGGCCTCGTGGTTGGAGTGGCAGGTCGACTATGACACGCCGTCCGCGGGTAGAGAGCCAGCCGGCGCAGCGGGAGGGGATGGGAGGGAGGCGTGTGGTGTCAGATGGGGCGCGAGCGCACCTAGCCTGCCTTCTCCCTCTCCCTTGCCCCTCTTCCCCCGCCCCTCCCAGTTTCAGGAGGAGAAGAAACTCACAGACACAATTCATCGTCGCTCCTCCTAAAAATATACGAAAAAAATATGGGAGAAGTGGGGGGGAAAACAAAAGCCAAGAAGACATGGGAACGTATGGGGAATCTTCTTATTTGTGTGTGTATTTGTTTGTGTGTCCGGGTCGTGGGCCAGGCGCCGCCGCGCCCTCCTCGTCCTGTCTGCCCATCCCCGGGCCGCGGCCCTTTCCCCCCCCCCCCGCCGCCCTCCCCCCGGCCCGCTGTGGCCCTGCCCCCTCCCTGGGGGGACGTCCGCGGACCACCTCGCCGATCCTGGCCAGGCCCTCGGATGTCCAGCCTACACCTTAGGCGATGCTTAAGAAAACCTAAGTTTTCGTCCAGAGTCTCGATTATTCTTAACTTTTCAATGTAAATCCCAAGATTTTGATAGAAGTTCTGGGTTTGATTCAAGTTCTGAGACTATGAATTTCTTAACCCATGATTTCTTAAGCATTTCGCAGGGTGTACAGTCGGGGCGCTGACGAAGGAACCCTTTTCGTGTGGGAGGGGCTCAGTGATCCTTACTTGTTTTGCAGTTGGCCTCTGATTTTCCTCAGGTTTCCGATGGAGCATCGAATTTTGACTTGGGGGGAACAGGGGCCTCGTTCCTTATTTAGGGTTCCTTAGGGCAACGCCCCGACTGTATGATTAGGTCGGGCCTGTCCCTCTGCAGGAGGACTGTTCCAAAATTGTAAAACAAATGTCGGGGGACTATTTTATGACTATGTTTGAACATTTGGGGGGTATTGTTGGGGTACTCTAAGTTGCTCGCCCCAATCCCCCTGTAGGGGGACGTGCCCGACTTGAGCCGATCTGCCCGGATCACCAGACCGCGTGTCGGGCACTGGGAGGCGGTACTCGCGCGACACGGTTTCGACACTTTTCTGGGAGCTGGAAGTTATATTCGCGTCGCACATTCCGCGGGCCCTGGAGCGCTCTTTAGGGCCTCTTGGGGGCCTCCTGGGGCTCCTTGGCGGCGTCTTTGGGGCCCCTGGGGCCTCTTGGGGGGCTCTTGGGGGCTTCTCGGGGCGGGAGGGCGAGGTAGTCGCTTGCGGCTCCCCCCTCGGAGGCCGCGATCCTCGTGAGGGGTGTCGAAACATGAGCACCACACCAGCCTGGCCCAGCCTGTGGGGTCTTTGGACTGGCGCCAACCGAGGCGCGCGCACCGATGCTGGGCCGTGGACCGGCCCGGCCGGGCTCGGCGAGGTGGTCAGCGGAAGCCCTTCCCAAAG